AAAACACTAGGGAGAGTTTTGCAATGGTCAGAGAGTCACAAGGCAGCTGTCTCCGACGTCCTGTCTGAAGTGTAGCCAGGAACACTGAACCTGGCCTGCAGGGCAAGAGCAAGTTGGAAAAACCAGCTATGTGGAAATCGAGGTGGAAGGCCTGGGTTGTGAGTGTCTTAGCTGGGTGAACCTCAGCAGGCCCTCATTTGTGACTGTCCCTGTTGCTCTCTGAAAAGAGTTCATGTCTTGTTTTATCTCCAAAGAATGCTTTAGAGCTGGGTGAGACGGTGTAATCCCAGCACTCTGATAAACTGAGGGAGGAGATTACAAGTTCAAACCCCGTCTGGACAATTCAATGACTTGGTAAAATCCTGTGTGAAAATACAAATACAAGAAGGGCTGGGGCTGTAGCTCAGAGTGAATGTCCAGGATTCAATCCTCAGTGCTGAAAAACAAAATAAAACACCCAGATTCAAAGTGTGTTTTTAACAATGAAGTAACTAGCCATAAAGATGGATAAATTGGAGACATTTCTAGGTGAATGGATGTACCTTGAGACCATGCTTTTAAGTGAAATAAATCAGACACACATGTATAAATACTGCTGTTTCTCTGGTATGAAAATCTTAAAGTGTAAATAAGGACCAAATGTATAACAGATATTGTGAAATGGGAAGAAAATGTTCCAGTGGGAAGGAGAATGAGGGAGGAAGGAATGGGAAGGGAGAAGGGAAGGGAAAGAGTAGACTAGAAAATAACAGTGTTGTGTTAAGAAAATTTCTTAATTTTCTTCTACTAGTCTTTAGATTGTTTAAATTTTAATTTAATTGAAATCGTTAATTTTTTTTTGAGACAAAGTTGCATTAAATTGCCTAGGCTGGGCTCAAGTTTAGGATCTTTTTAGCTGGACATGGTGGTGATGCACGCCAGTAATCCCAGCACTCAAGAGGCTGAGGCAGAAGGATTGTTGTGAGTTTGAGCCCAGCCTGGGCTATGAGGTGAGCTCAAGGCCAGCTGCATAGTGAGACCTTGTTTCAGAAAGACAAAAAAAGGACTGGGGATATAGCTCAGTGGCGTAAGATCCTGACTGGCAAGGGCAAGGTCCCAAGAAAACACCAAAACGAAACCCACTACTATTTAGTATATGTTGAGCTTGCCAGGCAGGCATATCTCCCTGGCCCTATTCTATTTTTAATATTATCACAAACAATACCATAATAAATATCTATCACTTTGTTCCTGAATTTTTCTTTTTTCAGGACGATAGCTAGGGATGGAACCCAGGGCCTCATGCGTATTAGGTAAACACTACCATGATGTTAGTGATAAGATTATTTCCACATGAGACCCAAAATTAGAAAGAACAGAGTTTATTAATAAAGTCAGCCATTGTACGCTTCCCTGGTTACAGATCTTAAATGTCTGGTCAGCATCTGAATGCACTTCCCTGATCCTTACAAATCAGAAGCTCATCTGTCCTTGTTCCTTGTTTTGTCCCTGCTTAAATACCTACATCTTAAGGGTGGAGAAGGATTGAAGGAGTGACATCTTAACAAGGATGGGGAAGGACTGAAGGAGTGACATCTTACCAAAGGTGGATTAAAGGCTAATTTAGAGCTTTTGCCAGCATAAAATTAACCCAATTGAGAGCTGCCACCCACTACACTACAATCCTAGAACCGCCCCCTTATTCATTTATTTTTATTTTTTGAGACAGAGCCTCACTATGCAATTCAGGCTGGCCTCAGACTTGAGGCACTCCTACTGCCCTGGGATTGTGGGTGTGCATACCATGACAGCTTGTTTTAGTTGTTGTTTTTGAGACAGGTCCTCAGCATGTAGGCCTTAAGCTCAGTATGTAGCCCAGGTTGGCCCTGAACTCTCAGGGATCCTCCTGCCTCAGCCTCCAGTGCTAGGAGTACAGACACATGCCCCCACACGTGACTTCCTCTGATCTTTTTATCTTCCACACTTCCTGTTTCTTGGTTATCTGAACGGATCTTGTTTATTTTCTATGTATTTATATGTGCTCATTACAAGTAAAGCCCCAGGGAAAATGGGTGAAGTACACTGCGCTTAAGGGGTATTACTTGTGTTTTTATATGCTGTTGTACGCAGTCTGCCTCCAACATGTGTCCTGTGTATTATTCCTCAGAGCTGCATGTCAGCCCACGATCATGTCTAACTTTTTTTGAAAGTAAAACTCTATGGCCCTTTTAGAGCCAGGATTTTGCTTGTATGCAAAAAAGCTCGTCTCAGATGTCTTTTTTTTTGAGAGGAAGGATGTCCCTATGTAGCCCAGGCTGGTCTTGAACTCCCAGCAATCCTCCTGCCTCAGCTTCCCAAGTGCTGGGATTACAGGTGTGCACCACGGGGCCCCACTAGAAAGATCCAAATTTAAGCCCAGCTTGGAAAATTTAGTAAAACTTTGTCTAAAAAAAAGTTGATGATAGCACACACGGGTAGTATGCGGGCTTGGGAGGCTGAGGCAGCAGGAGGGCGGAGAGTTAGCACAGGCCAGCCTGAATTACATAGCTGTCTTAAGAAACAATAAATAAATGCAAAAATACACAAGCACACAAATGAATAAATGAATAAATAGCAAAAAGGGCTGGGGCTGTAGCTCCAGCCAAAGACCCTGAGTTCAGTCCCGGTTACCACCCAAAACCAAAACTCGGGAGCCCAAGCGCCGCCACGGGTCGCCCTGGCGGCTGCTCCCGAGCGAGCGCGGCGGCGCGATAGGCCCGTCCCCTCCCGAGTGGGAGTTGTCTTATTTCCATAAAGCGCGAGCGGCAGACAGTGCGCTACTCTCGGGCGGCTCTCGGCGCGGGCGGCCTCGGGCTTCCGTTCCCCGGGACGCTGCCTCGGCTCCACCCCGCGGCGCTGGGCGGCGGTCGGACGCGCGGGCCGGGCCTCGCTCCCTCGGCG